TGAGTGCAGTCACTAGTGAGCATATGTTGATTTTTATCAGAAGTGGTTTTGTGGAAATTGTAGTAGTTTCATAAGTATGATCAAGAGTCAGTTGAAGCTAAGCCACCATGTTCTAGTGGGTAAGTGCTCGCTACAAACCAGTAGGTCCTGGGTTCGAGTCCCGTTTTGGGCGATATCGTGGGTTTGCACTGCTGAACGAAACTGCCGTGCAGTGTTTCCATGATGGTCTAGCTAGCTGACTCATGATGTTAACCATTGAAATTACAACAATCTCCACAAAACCACTTCTGATATTAAAAAATAATCACTCGGAATATTTCGCGCTATCGCTCGGTACCTGTCCAAATGTTTCCTAAGTCTTTTCTAATACACACGTGCGAGTGTATTTACGACATGCACCTGGAATGCTGTTTTTCATTTCAAGGACGACTAGAAAAGATGAAAAGCCAATAAAAATACGATAAATGGAAATTTTCAACATGTAATACTCCATTTCTACTTTATGTCACATCGCCCCATATATGAGGGAAAAACGACCAGATGCTGATGAACATAGTAAGCTATTAAAATGGTGTTTACTAACCGCAAGTTTGGTGCAAACTTCTCTCCGCTATGTCTTGGAGATATTACTATCCCACTAGAGTGGAATGAGCTGTGTTAGTAAATAAATCTATAAATAAATGGTTTTGTAGGTCTCCGGCACTGATAACGACCTCATTGGTTCTGCTGGACAAATCCTAACTGAGAAAGGTCGGTCACACATCCCCACTAGATCCCAAGTGTGTACTCCATCCTACGTATCGCCTGCCAGCTTAGACTAAGCACTTCCTGACATTTTTATAGCTTTCCAAGTATATCTACGAACCCCTTCATTCCTGACTTCTCATTTGACTAAGTTGGTGTGTTGCCATTACAAATTCGTCACGTGTAAAGGCGTAGTCTAACTCCGAATACCTGTGACGTCTTCAAAACTACGCGAACCAATGTCTGTAAATGTTTCGCGTTCAATTTCTTTGATGCTAGTTACTGTTTCGTGAAACATTGCAACCGGAAGAATATGCTTTTAATCGTTCAGAATGATCTACGGTCATCCTTGTGTTTGTTAACGATTTGCGATTCAGGGACTAGGAAGTCGCCAGAGAAAGACTGGGAAAATATGAAGCCTGTCCGACTAGGGTTGACTCAACATACTGGTCCGGAATTCCCTTCTGATAAATAAATACCATTACGTAGCTGGTCCACCGTTTGTGAAATGGTGATGTGGGTAGAGACAGAAGCAACGGTTGAATGATCGTACCTGACAACGCTAGATAATTCGGAGGCTGAAACACAGCGAGTCCACATGTGACCATATAGCATGTGGGGTAATTACAATATCACTGAGCTCTGGCGAGATTGTCCCCTGAATCGAACCCATACACGTTATTGTTAGGGTTGAAGCTTAACGATTTCACTTAATTCGCGAACGTGAACGAGGTTCGATTATTAAAACCAGTAAGCTAGCTAATGACGCGTCCCAGCCCCGCTATCTAGAGAGAGAACACCAGGCTTGAATTGAGAGTATATTCTGCAACAACCAGAAAACCAGCGATCCTTTTTACAAGACAATTTTAAAACGTATATGTATAAATATATATATATATATCGATATTGCCATGGAGCTTTTAAACATTTAATCGATCGTTTTCCAGTTGACTGCCATTGAAATATTTAAACATTCAGTCGATAAATTCGTCGATCAACTATGTGCGTGGGTGGTAAAAAATGCCCACGTATACATCTGCATACAACCTCCACAATATAAAATTACAAACTTTGAGTTTTTGGGGATCTATCGTCCCCAACAGTTATAAAGGACCGACAGATGTACGATGGGTTGTTTGTTTATTCAACTTGCTAAGATCAAGAATGATTTGCGGAGTGATAATCGTCGCGTGGCTCGGCTTACACAGTGGTGGCCATACTCTGCTGTGTTTGCTTTTATCCCAAACATGTAGTGTTCTTGTGAGATTTCAAAGGTTTTCCACTACTATAAAGGTTAGAGGGCAGTTTAAAGCAGGCGTTAAGGTGAGGCAGATTTAACGATAATCACGCGGTGGGGTTACATAAGTTAAACAATCACTTCATCCTCGTTAGGCTGCATTGGGTGAGGACTTTTCATGGAATGCATAGTGTATGTGTACATTTTTGAGCATCTATGACTATGAAAGTAAGACAAAACATACACTTTCAAGAGTTACATTAAAATTCAAATTGTGCATATAGTAAGGTGTCTGTAAGTTGTACCTTTACAGAAATACAACCCTTCACAGTTAGCTAATGGTATTTCTTCTCTTACATAAACGACCATAATTCATTAAGCCTTAGCCTTAATTTTCTGTGCATGGAATTTCTCATGAAAGTTCATTGAAAAAACCGGAAGATAACGGAATTACTAGCATTTGAAGTGCATTTCAAAAATGCTGTGGTTACTGAATACATATAACTAGTCATTATTTACAATATTTTTCGGCGTTTTCATCTTTTTAGACTTTCTTTTCAGCATATCTGGTTCTGTGTATAATAATTTAATCCAGGATCTATTAATTCAGGTAGAGACTTACCGATGACGGTAGGATTCGTGGTAACAAAGTTCTCAGTATAGGCGTTGTGGAGATTCTTAAATTTTGATTGAGAACATGAACCGGTTGATATTGGTCTACCGTTGAGAACCTGGATGCCTTGGAAGGCCGTTTCGTCCTATTGTGGGACTCATCAGCAGTGTGCATTCACTATGCCGCTCGCTGGGTTCACACCTAGGGCCTTCGGTCTTGTGCGCAAACGCTTGATCTACTGGCCTTGACAGTTGACACTGCAGCGGTAAATAAAATTTTAAGATGCTGACTACACTAGTTTTAATGACATATCCTAACTCAAGGCGCACAGTCAAGGATCCGCGCCAGATAACCACTTAGTACGCTGTGCCACGCATTCTTCCCACCAAATAGCGACACAAACTTAAAGCCAAAAGCAAGGCTTTGACAAACAGTACACAGTAAAAGCTCAGGCGAGGAAGACTAAAGGACGCAAAGCGTAGTTAAAGAAGACCTGAACAAACTACAAGACACGATAAACCAACAATTAAATAACAGTACCTTCCAAAGAAATATTGGAAAAGAATTCTCAGAGCGTTCTATCCGTCACAAGTTTACATACCATGATAAAGATTGAATAACATGAACTACTAACTGATATTTAGATGCTTTTTCATATTCTCAACAGTCCAAAATGATAGATCGGTGTTGCTGTAGACCTAAGTGTTTACAACAGTTGTATATCCAGTCGTCATGGTTTTGAGAATGCAGGTCTTAGATGCAATCTTTTGTAGTTAATGCTATGTTGCAAAATTTTTACCTTAGAATCCAATCACTCGTGTGTCAATTTAGTTTATGTGACGACTTACTTATGTATCCTAAAAGTACTACAATATGCTAGCCTCGGTCTTTTTATGTAAAGTTAAAATTCTTCGAAAATCCCTTAACTACGTAATTATGCTCAATAAAAATCCGTTTATCACCTAGATACTGCCAATGAGTGAAGTACAACCGACTCATTTACTCCATATGTTTCATTGGTATCAGCACTTGAAAGTTAAGTTCGTGGAACGGCACGGGAAAAACGTCAGAGCCTTTCGAAGCTGCTCCTCCCTTCGTTTGAACGACCTTGAACGGCCTGACAAGAGGCGGTCATTCCGTATTTCAATTGACGTGGGTTTGTTGAGTTGCATGAGTCATATTGCAATCGCAGTCAACGGATGAAGTTATAGAAAGTATCATAGAGAGAACTGGTAAGGTGGTTACCGCTGCTGATGTAAAGACTAAGAAAGCGAAATTCTCCACAGTTAAGTGTATAAAAATATACTTCAGGTCGTTGTACTCGAATACGGGTAATGGATTTGCTGCGACAAAAAGGAGAAGTGAGGAAATATTTAGAAAATAGATATGTGACGAGAATATGTTTCAATAGTTATGACCAAATACACTTGTACAATCAGTATCCAGATGTCGTGCGTATTGATTCCACTTATAATACCAATAATAAGAAGCGATTATGCTTCTCATTGTATTACACTTTGTAGATATTCCTTATTCCGCTGCCTAAAGTAAGACGAATGGTTTAGTAGCCGAAGTCTTATTGATGACGACCCTAGGATCATCGATAGAAAACTATTTTTGTCGCCGATTGTATACCGACTTAAATTATTAGAACTTGCAAAGCGACTTTTGTCCCGAACATAAATCACTATAAAAACGTACTGTAGTTCTTTAAACTGAGTCCATACTCATAACCATGTTCACAAATTTCAATGTCCGACTACAATGGTGTGCATTTATTGGTGATTATAACCATCTTGGGTTTCCAATCCTGAACTTAACACTGAGTATGTGTTCATCACCAGTTTGCGTACTGAAGGACGTAAATTATGGGTCTCATTAATTCTGATATTCGGTCAAATAAATATTATACATCTGACCGATGTCGAAGACCTCTCATATACGACTCTGTGTCAGTTACCAGGAAGCTGCTTTTCAGCGTTAAAACTTGTAGTGGCAATATAAATTGTTTCATTAATGACTAAAAATAAATTTTAAAAGATTTGTATCAATGTGTCTAGTATGTTATTCTGAAACCTTAGTTTCTACTCGTAGAGTCGATAAAGTGTTGCCAGAGAGAACCACACATTAAGACAGAATAAATTAATGTTTGCAGATTCCTTTTATAGTTCAGCATTTACTGAAACGACAACAACTGTTTAGTTACTCATAACTTCGACATAGTCTCATCAATCAGTTGCCATTCCGTAATTAATCTTCTGTGGTATGGATGTATTCATTTTGACGAATAGTTTGGCTAGTGTTTAGTGAAATTTCACTGACGCTGCAATAATCACAGAAATGCCATTCGGAACTGCTGTTTGACGAATTTGAATACTTTAATAATGGTCAATTTTACTTTAACAGAGAGCGGGGCTTACGAACGGTAGGCAAATTTTTCCGACTCGGTTTTTTTCCAAATGTTCGTTAAATAATACGGTAGTAACCAATTTGAATAAATTTATCATCTTCAAGTTAAAGCACATCTTTATTAACACTCACTAAAACAGAATGTCGTAAGCGGTGTTTTCGAAGGACTGTTCTGTGTACACAATATATACACCAAAGGTTTAGTATACTGCACTTTAAAGTTCAAACCCGTTCATGAAAATTTGGAGATTTTGGAAAGCTTATCATAAAACCCAAGCAAAATTAAATCCTTAACGAGCGGTCGCCCTAGGCTTGTGGAAAACGCTATATATATGTAGCGTAAGTATACTTACCAAATACTAACCACGGAAACCATTCTGCCCCACTGCCCTTCCCCAAAAGTCCTTCTCCACCCTAAAGAACAAGTATATTTTCGCGAATGAATAATAAAGGTCCAGCACTCATGAAATAAAGCTTATTACTAACACGTCTAATTTAGCCATATTCATACAATTTGTATACTGTATATGTTTATCTTGCATCAACCGTTTGTCAGTACTTAACTTATGTACAAAGATTCTGAAGTCATCACTTAGTGAATATGCGTTCAAGTGAAAAGTATATTTCTCACAAGAATTTACGGCGAGACTATAATTTATGGACGAACCAATAAGGTATAAGATAATAGGTCTCTGATATTGGTGCAAAATTCACTCATCCAATTTGGTCAAATAGTTTTGGCATTATAGTTGATGTCAGTTCGTGATAAAAACCCAAAATCTAATTCCTAACCTTACTCATCAAATGTAAAACGTAAGTCCAATTCCTCATACAGGTTTAAACTTCATTTGGTCCTAAATATTAGGCGGACACTTTCAATGTCAATCTAGCTTAGCTCAAAGGTCATCCATAAATTATAGTTTTACCGAATCTACATATACGTTTTAATCACAAGACACCTGAATATATTTGCACTTCAAAACGAACAGATTGGCAAGGCAATCTGATGTATGTAATATCCAAAACTTAGGTTACCCGTTCTCATTTATCTGCGCAATCAGGCTAAGCTTACCTTTCGCAGTGACTATATTATTAGGCTTTACGAAAGAGAGTTCATAGTTCCGTTCTGGAATGATCTCTTTCTCGGAATCACAACACATTTGCATCAAGTTGAATCTCAGTCTAAAGTTAATCTCTTCAAGCTACCATTGAGCGGCCTTTCTGACCACAGTAAATTCAAATCGCATATCTTCTTAGACTTTTCTATATAGAGTAATATAAGGTGGAAAATCGTATTGAAGTATACCGCCAACAATGTGCCAAAAGGTTAAACCAAACAGGAAAACGTGTAGGTGTGTATTTTGGTATTCCGGCTCAACGAACAGATAATGATGACCATCTGCAACTGTGCGTGGACAGTCATTAATTTTTATCAAACACTAATCTTAAGCATAAGAAGATACATCGTCTAACATAGCGACTCCCTGCACCAAACCAACGATGGACTTAAATAGTTCATATCGCATTCGACTCTGTAGACCAAGAGGTTCTGTGGCAGTGTGCCATTGAAAGGTGTACCTCAGAAGTGCATAAACCTCGTGAAGGCTCTTTACTCGAACACTACTAGTCGAGTCAGAGCTTATGGCGAATTGTCATCTGATTACGCAACCTCAAGTGGGGTCCGTCAAGGATGTCCACTTCCTCCATTTTTGTTTGACTTCATCATAGACCTACTGCTGGAAATAACGCTCTAGTCGACTGAATTTTCGGGCATTGATCTACCAAGAGGCCCACCTATCGACTTGGAATACGCAGATGATATAGTCCTGTTTGTTGAAGACGCTGATAAAATGCAGTCTTTCGGTAGCACTGAGCAACGGTGCCAGAATTTTTGGGATACGTTTCTCCTCCTCTGAAAGCAAGTTGGTGCTTCAGGACTAGTCTGCGCTAGACACATGGTATTAGGGAATGGTGGTAAATCGGTTAATGAAATTGTGAATCTTCACCTACTGAGGTGGTTGGGCCACGTGTTACGAATGCTTGAACACCGAATACCACGTCACGTTTATTTATTTATTTGCACACGTAAATATTGGTACAAGGGGGCACCAAATATTTATGTGCCACACAAAACAATGAGAATTTAAAGAGGAGAAAAAAAAGTAATGAACGTAGGGAATCATAAAAAAAGAGAGAAAATAATGGGGGAAACGGAACAGTACAATCAGAAGAAATCTTTCAGTTAAGGAAGGAGCAACCACCTTTTATCAAGAAAGTAAAAGGCTACAGCAGGATCGCCACTGGCTTCTATTCTGAGCCATATCTGATAACGTCTCTAGCCACTGTGTTACACCATCTCTCGGACCCCAGCCAGGGAGTCGTGAAGGTCCAACAGAAGCTAGCCCTTTGCAGATTTATTTCATACCACGACACCATGTCATATACTGACCACCTCTCCGCTTTTTCCAACCAGTCCCAGTGTCGGCAAATAATGCACCACGTCACGTAATGCTGACTAGTGTTGGGGATGGTTGGAAGTTTATTTATTTATTTTAACACAGATATTGGTACAAGCTGGCACCAAATACATATGCGCCACACAGATTTCAATTGATATGTGTGGGGACTGTGGTACTGCCCGGGTGTCCAAACCGAAGCAGGTGGTTTGCTTAGGGGATCACACCCGGAGCCTTCGACCTGAACGTCTGATCCACAAGGCAGTAGAGCATCGTAAGGAGATGCAGTCCCATGGTAGCCGGTGACCAAGAAATTGGTTCATACGCCATTTGTTCCCGCAAGATACTGGAGCCCATGTGCACCATTGGTTTGGGATCCGGTTAAAGCGCCGGACATTCGCTTTTCGTCCTCTCATTTTCGTAAACAACACCCCCGCCACGAGAAGGCAGTGAGTAGGACTTTCCTGGCAGAGGCTATATACGCGTGGCCATGTGAGAGCATTTCGAGAGGGAGAGCGGACTCTCCCCACTCTCGGCCATACCAGGGCATTTGGGGGCATGGTTGGAATAAAGTTAGGGGCAGCCAAACCAAAATCGTGGCATCAGTGCTTGAAGTCACTAACTTCTAGTCTGAGCCATGTTGGTAGATGCAGACTACTTGGTTGGGATCCGCGTGACTATCGTAACGAATGGTTGGAAACTGAGTATTATGGTTCAAAATCGATCACAGTGGCGTAGGTGTATTCACTCTCTGTTTTTCCTCAAACTATGTGATTAGAATCGCTTCATATCTTTCTAAGAATTAATTCTTTCTTCCTGTACTACATCCTTACACTCAATCTTTCCTTTATATATTACCACCATTGAATTAACTACTATGAATCCGATGTTCATCTTGTGCTAATGAGGTATGGCAAGTTGGACCGATTAACATATGTGCCTGGTCCTACGTTGTAGCTGACTGTCTGTCTGAAATTTGGTGTTTTAGAAAAAAATCTCGAGTCACTACTGGGGAAAATTCCCAATCCTGGTTGCATTGCCTGAAATTTGATCAATTTTGTTCCAAAGTTGGGAGACTGGGTTCAGTTTAAGGATTCATGTGTAAGTTGTTACCTAAACAACCCTTGCCACAAATTACAATTTTTTTAACTACACCCAGGTATACCAAATAGGTAGGCCGTAAGGAGACTGTTGAATTTATGTATGAGGAGTTACTAGTGGGTGAATATTCTCAGAATACCTACGGTACTTAACTTCATTTCGCATTTCAATATGGGAAACTGATCCATATTTCCTAGTTCTGCCCTACTTTCTGCATCTCGTGATTGTGTAAATGTATGGTTTATTCGAAATAGCTAACCTTACTTACCGACTCTATCAAATGATCAGTTCACCTATAGGAATATTCCAATGTAAAATGCCAGCTGTTAGAGCATTTAGTTAGGGACTATCATTCTTTTCAAAGACTAGCAAGGACAGCATTCTAGTAGTGCTTATTGTAAGCTGAAAGGATTTTCACATCAGATTTATTTTACTGGTTTCTTTAATGTCACTATTCTAATTAGGTCTTTACCTCTTACCTTTTAGTTTTAATGGATGTTGAGTCGCCAGAGTCCGAACAGTTGTCAGTCGAGGAATACAAAAACCAAGGAAACTCATGTTATAAACAAGGGATGTACAATGAAGCTATAGAATGGTACACAAAAGGCATAGAAATCGATAGTACCAATGTGTTTCTGTACAATAACCGCTCCGCAGCTTACCTGATGATTAATAAACCTCTTGATGCCTATAAAGATGCTAGCAGGTTTTGTTTTCATTCATTTCAAATAAATTACTTACTTGATAGAAGTATCAGTTTAGATTCCCAGAATGTAAAATCTATACTACGTTGCTTAAAATGTTGTCTTATTTTGGGTGATTTAAATGAAGCCAAACGTCTGTGTTCTATGGTTAGACAGTTAGAACCAACTAATACGGAATTTTCGTCATTGGTAGTGACTCACTGAGCGTTTACTAATGAAATTTTTTTAGCTGCAAAAAATTGAATTACTATCAGAAACTCACCGATCTTATGAAGATAAATTATCCACATCTGACTTCCGACACGTATAATTTCCTCTATAATGTTAACACTTTTTTATGATAGGCGCTTCATTTAATCACAAAGTGTATTGAATTAGCTCCAGCTTCACTAAGTTTCAATTTACAAAAGCTGCACATCCTCATTCAATTAAAACGATTCAGTGAAGCCAAGATTCTGGTGGAGTAAGTTTCTGTAATGCAATTAATATTCCTATCTGAGTACAGAAACTTATTGCATTCCCATTCTTCATCAGTTGATCTACTCTTTTATCGAGGCCTGTGCTTGTACTATTTGGATCATTTAGATAAAGCAATTGTTCATTTTCAACATGTTCTACGCCTTCATCCAGATCATATAGAAACTCAGAAAGTGTACAAGCGTGCCAAAAATCTCTTGAAATTTAAAGAAGAAGGAAACACATTTATACGTGATCACAAGTATTCTCAAGCACTTGAAGCCTACACAAAAGCTTTGGAAGTGGATCCTTCACACGATATGATTAACGCAAAATTGTATTGTAACCGTGCTTGTGCTCTATTTTACGTAAGTTTGTACAGTGAATTTTTCAACTTCTATATAGCTTGATCGTTTCGATGAAGCACTAAACGATTGTGATAATGCAATTTCTTTGGAACCAAACTATTTAAAGGCTCGAATTCGACGAGCTAGGTGGTAAGTCAGGTTTGTTTTAATGATTTCACATTGCCGTATAATTAGTTAGTCATTAAGCATTTGCTCATGCTTTTCAACCGTTAATTCAATCAACATCTTGTTAACTTTTACAATAATTTTAAGTAAACTTGTCGGTTATATTTCTTATTAATCTCACGCCCTACAGTTTCGAATTGAACTGTCTTATGTTGTTCTTTAATCAATCTTGTCAGACTAGATATAGTTCTCGATAAAGATCCTGAATATTACCATCTTAGCCACTGTTTGCTTAGCAAACTGTGTACATCTGTAGTCTAGATTAATATGCATATTATCTTCATGATCTGATAACTGTCTGGTTAATTAACTATTACTCAGTGATTTTTGTGCTTATCATCCAATCATTTCATTATAGACTTTAGTTCTTCCTTCATCTAAGAATCTTTAATTAAATGTACAGTATCGTTTGCTTGCATTGTTAGTGCAAGAATCTATCATCAAATTCTAAGTAATGTCTTTATACTTCCGTAGCATTTGACCCTTAGTGGTTGCTTCTCATTTTTCCGCGTATCGGTATGAGCTTAATTTCTTTAAACTAGAACTTGTGTGGCTTGTGGCCAGTGCATAAGTTGACGTATAACTACTTATTGGAAGAAAGTTGGGGGCGGCCAAACCAAAACGTGACGTCAGTGCTTGAAGTCACTAACTTCTAGTCTGAGCCATGTTGGTAGATGCAGACTACTTGGTTGGGATCCGCGTGACTATCGTAACCAATGGTTGGAGACTTTGAGTGATATGGCTCAGAATTGATCACAATGGCGTAGGTGTATACACGTTCTGTCTTCCCTTAAACTATGAGATTAAAATCACTTCATATCTTTCTTTCTACATACTAATTTTTTCTTCCTGTATTATATTCTTCTATGCAATCTTTCCTTTATATATTACACCATTGAGTTGATTGCTTCCATGAATTTGGTGTTCATCTTGTTGTGCAAATGAGGTGTGGCAACTTGGACCGATGCACATATGTGCCTGGTCCTACGTTGTAACTGACTTACTGACTTGTTTGTCTCACTTACTTATTATTTTCTATATTGTTACAACGTCAAAAAGTTCATTTCCACTAGTTGGAGTATCTTATTGTTGACTGGTATTGATAACTATTAAGTACCGTAATAATGAAGGTTTCATCAGATGTTTTTAATCTTTAATAGTATGTCTTGTTTCTCAAATGGTTAAATATAAGAAGAGAGATCATTAAGTTCACTGTTTTTTATACGTAGAGATTTATTGGTAATAATCGCTATTAAATTTCCCACATCTACTTGGATTTTCCAATCTGTACTGCTAAGCGCTGTTTATACTCTGATGATGTCTAGCTCACTAATAATTTATAGACTCTTGTTTCTAGTGATGTTTGTTAGTTAACGGCAAAAGATAATGCCAAGGTTTACAAGTTTGTTTAAATAGAATGTATTTAAACTCTTGACTCATACTGGCAAATAATTTTGTGCCAAGACAAGTGAGCTATCGACCAAACACTATTGTTCAAGTCAGAGATTATCGGGAACTGTTGTCGGATATACTAATTTAAGTGTTTTTCGTCAGGGCATTCTACTATCTTCACTTTATTTAACGTCATAAATATCTTCATAGAAATCAGGATTTTTCCCATCTAACAGTAGCAGTTTATAGTTCATTAAGTAAAAATAAGATCCAATAACACAAAATTATAGAAAAGTCTACTTGAATTTAACTTAATTTAGTATATTTTATTTAGTGTTTATTTAGTGATTTTGCCGCCAATAATATCTGACTTCATTAACTAGAATTCTAACTTGTAATGAATTTCCATTTATTTTATGTTTGATTGTTACATAAGTTTAGTCATTAACACATTTATTTTTATTTACTGTCATGATTATCATTGTTTTTGTTTAGTAGACTTGGAATTGTAATACCTTTATTTTAAAGGAATAATCACTTATTCTGAAAACATAAATTTGCTCTATATTGTGTATACAATTATTCTTTATGCAGTTATTCATCTCTTGAAGAATATGAAAAAGCAGTTGAAGAATGGACTGCAGTAGTAAAATTAGACGGGTCACAAGAAAATAAAAAATCTTTACAGGCTGCTAAATCTGCTCTTTCTGTGTCTCAACGTGATTACTATAAAATACTTGGTTTGAAAAAGAATGCCTCTTCCGATGATATAAAACAAGCGTATAGAAAAAGTGCACTTCTATATCATCCAGGTATGGGATTTTAACTTGCCGAATTCATGTATATTATTTATTTTATGCTGCATACGAGGTATTGCTTTAGACTATTTTACGTGTAATAATGAGCCTATCTACCCTGCTACTCCAACTTTAATTGATGATGTACATCTTGAAATCGTTCATCACTAATTAATGGTGAATTACTTAAATCTTTATACTACAGCTTAATTCAAGCTAGGTAGGTGTGCATTTTATTCAAACAGTTTACTTCATCGAGTAATTTGTGTGACTTACCTGGGACTCATATATTTCTAATGTTGTAGTTTATGAAAATCAGAATCCTTCAGAGTTACAATCAATTATAGAACATTCAAGTATTGTATTGTATGTATTTCGAAATCATATTCTGAATTCATGAGAATAATCCTTTTTTGAGATCATAATTTAGGTGGTGTTTTCTAGTTCAGCTAACAACTATTTTCTCATAACGTTTACAGTCCCTTTTTAGTGTATACAACTCGTAAGATTTTTTTGAGTGAAAGGGAGTAATTATTTATTGCCTGTTTTCTTCATATTTTTCTTGTTTGAAAACCCTGTTAACTTAGTTTTTTTTTCTTGCTAAGTTTATTCGGTCTGTGCAATTTCTGACCAGATTTTAGTTTTTAAATTGCTTACATTTGGGTCATGTACTCAAGAAATCGGCTTAACTAAAATGGTGATACTGAATAATTTCAAATATATATTACTAATTTTTACTGACTTTTCAAACTAATTTCACTAATACAAAGTAAGGCATTTGACTTCTATACTCAATTGACTTCGACGACAACTGTATGGGATCACATTCGTTACATTAGCTGTTTATGAACAGATCAATTGATAGCTAGATATTTGTTTATCAAAAATTTTGCTTATATTCAGCAATTTGATGTGTTTTAAAGAATCCTACAAAATTGATGAGATATAATTAAATAACAGCTTAGGATTTGTCTGTTACAGATAGATTAACAAAATATGAGCGCCTATGGAATCCTAACAAACAGCTTTAAGGCTAGTAAATTTGATGTCTTCCTAATAAAAGAATTTTTAAATCTGGAAGGTCAATTTATGTGTTTAGAGAATAGACACAATTTACAAATATACATATAAATATCTTTGTATTCACTCTACATACATCCTCTATGTGGTTTTCTGTAATTTACCGCTTGGTCCTAAATTATTAATACACTCAAGATACCTTTAAAAATATCTGGTTAACACTTCATTATATTTTTGTTTAACTTTCACTAGCAAACAATATATATTTAAAATCCCTATCTACTGAGGTTTAAAATCTATTAGCCTTTCATGCTGCGAGATTATGGTAACTCATCTATTGACAATTAGTTCTCATCATTTATTTATTTATTTGAACACATAAATATTGGTACAAGGGGGCACCAAGTATATATGTACTACACAGTTCTCATCATAGAATAAAAACTAGAAGTATTTCTAACTTAATTAATCTTAATGTGACATTTATACTTTTATTTAGATATTTTATTTTTTCCAATTAACGACTATCTATCTGATTTTATGTACCTTGTTCTACATCCTACTAACTCTCTGTAATCTCTGTCCTGTATAATATCAATTCATTAATATATAATAGTTGGATTATTTGATTTTCTGTTAATATATCTTTAACATCACCAGTTAGTTAGCGATTGTTCCAGTTAATCATGTCATAAAGGTCATATTCTTTTCTTTTTCAAAACAAGTGATAAGTTCATTCTTTAACACATATCAAGGATTCGAATAAACTTAATCATAGTATTGAAGGTGAATGCTTTATAAAGATAAAGTTTGTTGTTGTTCGTAGTTTAAAGAACTTTTATTATTCCAAATAGCTATTCATTTAAGTTGTGCCTTTCCTACGCAACATTTATATGAACCGTGTGATTAGGTTTCTAGGAAAGCTTGATTAGAAATATATTTTGGATTAGTTCATCACATTTATGACATCTTCATGACTCAGACATTCCTGTGTATGTCCCCTTTTAGACCGCTCTGTGCAGTATTTTGTCCTTAGAAATCGTGAACACCTGTAACTTATATCACTACTTTTTCTACCGTTACATGCATACAGCAACATCACTTCGTAAACGGTACTAAGGTTTAATAATGTTTATGGTATTAAAACAGATTCAATAACAGGTTTTATTAACTATTCTTATGTCATCTATGGTAGAAATGTCATTGTTGTGGTTGACCAATAGATTCGCTTAGTAAGAATTCAAAATTTCCGTGTGATTATTTTCATTCTTTATGATCGTTACGATTGTCTAATTTTCCATTCATTTTATGTATGCGTTATTCCATTTTGTCATTTTACATGTAACATTTCTTAATGATAACTGTAGCGATTAAAATTTTTCGTTCAGATTTATCAAAGTCAATTATTATTTATAGATTTAAATAAAAACCCATCATAGTCCCAATCATCAAAATTCCATTAGCTCTGTTAGCTGACATTTTACACATATTTGAAAAGTTACACTTTTCGAACATAACAGTTTGGTGATTAATTTAATGTATTAACCGACACGACATGGATAAATAATGACTTCATCAAAATCCCTTTCTTTTCGTATACAATTCTAGATCGTCATACAAGTGCCGATGAAGCTACTTTAAAAGAAAAGGAACGGAAGTTTAAAGAGATTGGAGAAGCCTACAGTATATTATCAGATCCTGTAAAACGTCGTCAATATGATAATGGTGAACTGTCGGGAGATGATGTTTTTGGTCAAGGTAAATTTAATTTTTCTGTGGCTAATTCTTGAGTCATGTAATCCAACTAATTGCTACATTGTATATCAATTTATTTATTTATTTATTTTAACACATAGATATTGGTACAAGCTGGCACCAAATACATATGCGCCACACAGATTTCAATTGATATGTGTGGGGACTGTGGTACTGCCCGGGTGTCCAAACCGAAGCAGGTGGTTCGCTTAGGGGATCACACCCGGAGCCTTCGACCTGAACGTCTGATCCACAAGGCAGTGAAGCATCGTAAGGAGATGCAGTCCCATGGTAGCCGGTGACCAAGAAATTGGTTCATACGCCATTTGTTCCTTCAGGATACTGGAGCCCATGTGCACCATTGGTTTGGGATCCGGTTAAAGCGCCGGACATTCGCTTTTCGTCCTCTCATTTTCGTAAACAACACCCGCGCCACGAGAAGGCAGTGAGTAGGACTTTCCTGGCAGAGGCTATATACGCGTGGCCATGTGAGAGCATTTCGAGAGGGAGAGCGGACTCTCCCCACTCTCGGCCATACCAGGGCATTTGGGGGCACACATTGTATATCAGATACAGATATATCAGATATACTGATATACATTGTATATCAGTTGTCTGTAAGTTGCTATTGTCTACTATCGTTTTGTTTTTCCAGTACTAGCTAGATTAAAACTGACAGTTACAAATGTCTTGTAGTTTACAGATGGAAAAAATAGCTCTGCTGTGGTACTCTCACAACTTATTGTATCCTTCATGGCTTCATTTCGTTTTTGTATGCAGTTTACAATCTATAATACATTTTAAAATGCAACCTTTTACGTTTATTTTTACATTTGTCGCTCACCAATGAATTTTTTCAGTGAACTAGTTTATCTTCACATCTTACTTCTTAATGTTTGCTTTTAAAATGAAAAGTTTAAAAATATGATTTACTAGATGTTAGATCTTAGTAAAGTGAATGATGGAATTTTTATTTGGTAACACAATGATGTATGAACACAGCTTTACACTTTGTCAAAGTTCACTTTAAATTAAGTAAACCAACAGACTAAATCATTTTCTGCTACTCCCCCAGTCAATTTCCTTTTCTGTATTTAATCAGAATTTGTCTGTCTATTTTTCTTAAAATACACCTTTTGTAAATTCATCTAAGTAAACCCGTCTTATTCGTTGAGAAAAAAATAGAATGCAGCTTGCACAAACTGGTCTGAATAAATTACTGAATAATCACTTGGTTCATCCTTTGGGATTCATTTATAAATAACCAAAGCGATACAATCTTAAAATGATCTTGGTTATCTTGTTCTTAGAATTGCTAATTGTTAATTTTTGCATTTGTATCCATCCTTTTATCATTTTATTTTTGTCCTATAGAATAAGTCCAACACTAAGTCATTCTCTCACAATACAGCAGTATAATCAATAAGTTTACTCATCATTTGATACATTAAATAAACTAGTAGTCTGACCTGTAATATTCTATATTTTGAATCAGAATCGCATACTCTTTTTTTCTAAAGCCTACATATTAATTTGAGTCGTCAATTTATAAATTACTGCTTCCACGTGGACAGTAAATAGAATTTTTCTATGAATGTTTGTAAACAGTCTATCATGACATAAACCATGTCATGTGAATGCGGTCATCCTATATTATAATGAATTATTCATAAGAAAGTATCGCTTCACACCTTATTCCAACAATTAATCAATAAATCTGAAGATAAATTGAGTTTATTGTTTTTGATATAACTGTAGAAAACTGGTACTTATTACGTAACACTCTGAAATTCGTACAGTACACGAGAAAAAGACAAAAACCGACGATAGAAGCAGATTTTCTATACACCCTCCAAAATACGAAGATCTTTTAAATCACAATAGGCTCATCAGTTTTACTGATATCTGATTAGTTAATACATGTAACACACAACATAGATAGGGGGAATACCAAAATAGATTGTTTCACAGAATGAATACAAATCCTATACTGTGTATGATACTGAATAAAGTTCACACTTAGCTAACATAATGTAACACTGAAATAAAACGAATACTAAATAATTACTCCCAGAAATTTAGTTGCATGTTATAGGCGACTGGAGATAATCAGCTTCATAGTTTACACGCAACCCAATCAATTAAGACTGCTCATCACTTTTTAAAGTTTTGTTGTATATTAGTTGGACAATACAAAGTTCCAAGTTTTGCAGGTTATTGATTTCACTTCATTAGACCCTATCTATTCATAACTGTAACCATTTTTAAAAGTTTTATTTATTTTTAATGTATTTTTCCAAAGGAAATGTATCCGCTCACAATTTGTTTACTCAAGTCTTTCCTGGATTTGGAACATCTACAGTACATTTTTATTTTGGTTAATATTCCACACATTGGTGTATACAGTTAATGCCGGAGTTAATATTCATTGGGTTGTAGTTGTAATAAACCTTCCTCTCTGTTTATGTACAAAAATTTGGCGACGAAATATATTGTTTATTTATCAGATATCTTCATGGTTAATACTTTATCTCTGTTTGACACATAGATGTTGATATCAATACTTATGTGAGTGTCTGTGTGTGTGTGTGTGTGTGTGTGAACAATTTTAAATCGATGATTAATGTAATGTCGAAAATGATTCACCGGGTATATTATTTAATTTTAAATGCTCTTTTAATTCATGCATATTGAATTTATATTCAATGTGCATATACATACATATATATTAGAAATTTTCCTCGATAATATTAGTGAATATATATGTATTGAATAAAACAGTCATTTTCAGATGTATTGTCAAACTAGTTAATGTTCGTCATTTTCTCTTAAAAATGATTTTCAATGATAAAGTGATTAACTTAATGCTGTTAGAATGATTTTATTCATTTTCTTTCGTTCTTACTTGTTTTTGGAATTAACTCAGTAATGACTGGATAACTTGACCTAGTTCAAGAACCCACTTTAAATTTTGATAGTAGGAAAATTAGTATTTCAGGTGATCAGAACTATCTGACTGTCATGATTGAAAATATCTACCGATGCTATAAGTACATCAGTCATTTTTTCTTATGTATACAGTCAGGTGAATAAAACAAACCTCTGTCACGAGGTTTGATTGGATGACTGAATCATTTTCAGTCAGTCCATATACAGCGTAAAACCTGGCATATTTGCATTTGTTCAAGTTATCATGCAGTATTAGCACAGAAAGTTACAATTATTTAAAGTAATGTCAGAGCGGTAGAAAAGATTAAGTGTAGAACAAAAAAGAATGCATAGGAACGTTCCCAGTTTTTTAAATGCAATGATACGCAACGGAACTGATGCGGCTAGTTCACGAATAATTCACATCATAACCCATTGTCGGCTGCAGTGTCATCGAAAATACAGTAAACATATATGGGGTGCAACTGGCGGTAACTTATTTATACAACTTTTGGGGATGCTAGATCCTCAGAAATCACTTAGTAAACGTCTTATTTTTGTAATTCTATTCTGGAGATTTAAATTGATCGTTTTTGCGTCTAAAGCGCTCACTATTACTTTCAGTTTGTATTCCCCACTTGGAAGGACCCTAAATGTTGTTGGTTTGTTTCCTCTTTTGGTACGTTATTTCGTGACGTTTCCCAAAAACCTTTTTATACTGTATATATATGCTTGAGTCGTGTGCTTGTTTGTTCGTGCTTCTGTCTGCTTGTGGAATATACCTTCCCCTACAGTTATCAGGGTTGTTACACATCGGAATAGTTGAGCTTGTCTTGTCGTTGCGTTGCTGATCCTTCATTCCGTTTCGCCGATTTCAGGTGATCTTGTAATCTCTTCAAAGATGGCAGATCTATAATGCTGGTTAACAAGATATTTTAATTTGCTACATTTCTAGATCGATTCACAATGTGACAAAACAGACTTCAAGTGCTTAGTAATAAATTTCATGGTAGCACAAATATGAAGTTTTGCCTAGAGGAATTGGAATCATAACACACAATTTCTATTGAAATGATGGAATAATTTGTGCAATTGTACAGATATTACTTGATGCCATAACAAAAGTAACGGAAAAAAGGTTTGGAACGCGTATAAATGAGAATGTAAATCAATAATTTATGTGATCTATATGAATGCAGTCTAATCTAATTAGACAGAAATAGTTCGAAGTTGCACAGCGCAGTTAGTACTTATCCTGTGTTTTACTGTAATGATAGCCAAGTAAATCGACCTCCTACGCGGCTTGAGTAAACACTCCTAATAGGTAACAAAATGTACTAGTATTAGCCCGTAAAAGAAGTAAACGTCGATTGTTCTTGACCTTGGTGAGGATCGGCCGATTTCGAAACTCAGTAGCTTGCCTGCTCGATGAAATAACTAAGGCTCAGTTACATTTGTTGGACAGCAAAATGGAATATGCATTATATCGAAAAGTTTAGACGCTTGTATTCAAACACCTGTATGATGGACTTGAGATAATTAACTACGCTAATTTTGTGAAATTAGCACATATGTGGAAACACCGGAGCACTCTAAACGATTATCCGTGTGTTTAAAATGCAAACGTTCGTTAGTGAGGAATTAATACAGATGGTCACATAAGAGCGTAAGAAACATTAATTAGGAAATGATGATTGATGATTATGGTAAACTGGTATCATATATCTTAATAAATACATATTCCATCGACTGTGAATAGAACACATTGTTCCGAACAATAACAAACTTAATTACTGATATGGTTTTGTGGGAATTTTCAAGTAATATGAACACGTCTCACTAAAAAGTGATTTCATTGTTAACCAGAAAGTAATAAACAGTGGTTACATTCCAGTGCCACAAGCATACACTCATGTTTCTATACTCACTGGAACACGGAATGCTCAGAGTTTATAGCAAACAAGGCACCTCTGAGACGGACAACAGAATATGGATGGCATCAGATGATGATTACGGCACATCGAAATCTAGTTGAAGTCGGAAATGTTGACCTTAGGGTCTCAACTGTTTGCTTCGACGAGATGGTGAGACTTCACTGTCGACAGTCAGATTTTCTGTGTGGTGACGAGTGAGCACTGATTAAGAATGTTGGACCAGAACAAAGTATCTACTCAGTCATTCATTTGGTGTCATTATGTCATGACAACTGTCTTCATATGAAATAAATTCCCAAAAACCAACTAACCAAAAATTGATTGCTGAACCATGTGTTGGAATGATTCAAATGAATAAGTATGACACATAACCTTCTTTGAACTTTCAATACTGAGATATTTTTTCAATTACTGAAGTAAATGTTAATCACGAAATATTTACTTGACATTATGATTGAGTTATTGACTGATAAAATACTGCAGCCACTGGTGAGAGGTTGGCGAATTGATAGTGTTTTCTACAAAGTCAGGTTTTTAGTTTCGACTCAATAGATATACGTGGCCCTTGTATTAGGAAGTATGGAGAATGATTTTTTAGTAACTTCGTGTCTGATGTAATTTCTTTAAATATTTAGTTGACCGAATGCAACTTGAACTCAAGGGTCTACGAAGACTGCTATTGACTTAATGATCATATGTAAAATTATTAAACACATTTTTATTTTTAAGGTTTGGTACTTTCTCGTTGTTGGCATTCAGAACTGAAGTTGACTGGTTAATAGTAACTTCATTCCTGATGAACAATTTAGTGGTTATCTGAACTCAATAGCTTAGTTGGCGTTTGAAGTGAAAGATACTGATTACGGGTTTTAGTGTGAACACGAACTGTAACTCAGATATATCTATCTGATGAGTCACGAAACACCGATTGTGCTTGACTATTGTTAGCCACAATCCCAAGATTTACTGAACCATTTTTCTTTTTCTTCTTCTTTACAAGGCATTTCACACCGTACAGGAGAGACTGTTTTTATTGTAGTTCGTTTCATAATTCCTTTATAGCACAAATATTAGGCTTTACTAGGAGAAAGTGGTGTTTTGGTACATAGTTTCCTGAATGGCGTAATTTTGCAAATATTATCTGATTCGACAGCATGAGTAAGCTGAAGATGACTTGGAAGTCTGTATATATTAGATAAATATTCCTGGTTCACTAAAATTATGGTCAACTGGTAATTTCAGAAAATACTAGTAGAAATAAATTTATTTGAGAAAATCGAACTTCTTATCTTAACAGGTGTTCAAAGTTTAGATCCAACAGCAGATCATTTACAATCAAATTCCAAATTCTTCTTTAGCGTCCACGTCTTGGACTTCGCCTACTGTTTGGTCTCCTCTTGCCTATCAATAAAAGAATATATTGTTTAGTAGGAATACTAGTAGATTTTGAACTGTGCACAAACACAAAATGTGGCAATGTTTTCTTTTATGCTGCTGGGTTAAAAGACACCAACGACCTGTTAGTTCAAATGTGCATTGTCATTTAGATTTTGTCACGTTGATGACTACTTAAGTTAACTTGCTAACTCTTGTTCACCGATTGTATCTATCCTGATTTGACACACTGGACAAACACTTTTTAATTAAATTCTTTTTAAAATACAACACGTCACAGTGAACTAACTTGCCCTCTTGTTTATATGCGTAGGACAGTTTCATAGTCAGACAATATCGTTATTTATAGTTTGGAGAACAGTGTCAAAAATATTAACATCACATATATAATTGACGTTCAAGGATTTCTTAATAAAATAGATGGTGAGTTATGTGACAAATTTTTAAAGGTAGATTACATAGACTTAACAAATCTAATAAATTCACACTTATTATTACGTACTAGTCAGGTAAGAACCCGTACTTCGTAACTTTTCATCTCTTAATTGCTGAAGATCTCAATCCATGTAGTATGTTTATTAAACTTGATATTGTAAGGAAAATATTTCATTTCCTATCACAGAGTTTGTATCAGTAATCTCAGGTGAACTAACGAATAATGATTTCATTGGGATAGAACTGTCTAGATTCTTTGTAATATTGATATGTTAATCGATTTAAATATTATGTAAAATATTTGTTTATGTCGTCTGGTAAAAAAGTTTGCTGTATAAGTGTTCATATAACAAATTTATGTTTACTTAGTTATTGTTACAATACACTCCGACGTGTTAATGAATACATAATTAACAAAATACGTGTTAAAGACAACAATAATAGGTCGGTATGAAAAAACTAACCGCAACAATAACAACATGTGTCATTACGGCGTGGTGATTGCGATAACCCTCGATTTGGGTATGGGGATGCACCCCTGCTGGTAGGTGTTCCACTCCGACTAGGATTTCCTGGTTGCTGTCGAACAACTTGGTCTTTCTGTGGCATATTATAAAAGTTTACGTGTATATAGACCTTTATATACTTGGACATCGAGTGCACGAACCAATTATCCAATCAAAGATGTTTCCAACCAATTTATCAAGCTGGGCGATGTACTTTACAAGTATTCATTTATTTATGAACAAATTTCCATAAAATTGTTAACTTTTGTCCTTGATAGGTTACTTTTCACCTGGTGAAGGGTACTTAATGACCTAATTTCTTAGAGTACCAATTGTAAGTGAATCCGATCATATGACATCATTAGTGCAGGTGAAGCATCCAGGAAAACAACTGCTTTATGTAGTAACATTGCCTTGATTATTTCAATTCAATAAGCAAGTAAATAAGCCAAGGAAAACCCATAAATAAGGCCATGTTTTTTTCAAATGTATCTACTGGAAAATCTAGGTGGAGTGGTAGATTTATGGTTAAAGAATTCGGATTTCAACCATTAGGTGACAGGTTAGAACTCGACTTCACCTACTTCGGTCTGAGATATCGAGTAGTGGTCGAGCTCCGTAGCTTCCTGAAAACCCAAACCACTTAGCAAGATGAATTTAACAGATATTTTGGTCGAGTAAATGAACTGA